TTAGTGGTATTTGTACACCTTGTAGAATATATATTTTATATTTAGACAAAACATTGCATTGTCAATTTTCGCTCTGACGTCATAATGCACTCAGGTCCCTCTTTAGTCATCACACTGATGTCACTGGAATTGTCTTTTGCTCCTGAATTGCACACTAATCGCTCATATTGACCCCCCTGGACCCTCCCAGAGCTATATTCCTATACCTATGACGCATCATCCGGGTCACTGTACACATATACAGGGACAGAGCTCGGTTGGATGACTTCACAAGGTGCGGTAACGGGCCGCGGCCTCTCTCAGGTCTCTGTGGATGGGATTTGGAATGCCGGTTACCGCACGTTACAGAAGCACCGAACTGTCAGCCGATGTGGCCACACAGCTCCTACCTTTGTCGCCCAGGATGCCATCGATGCTGTGTTTGGTTTTCTTGTCCCCGTCCTCCTCCTTCTTGTCACATTCGTCATCTTCCTCCTTTTTCCCGAACTTTATTCGCAGGACCCGGCTAATCGAGCTCACTAAACCTCAGAAATGAAAAGATACCAGAGGAAATATAAATAGGGGCGTATGGGGGGACACCGACATCTTACAGCACCGACTATATCACCGGGGCACACAGGAAGCACCGACTATATCTCCGGGGTACACAGGAAGCACTGACATATATCACCGGGGTGCACAGGAAGCACTGACATATATCACCGGGGTACACAGGAAGCACTGACATCGCATCACCGGGGTACACAGGGAGCACCGACCCCTATCACCGGGTGTACACAGGGAGCACTGACATCTATCACCGGGGTACACAGGAAGCACTGACATCTATCACCGGGGTACACAGGAAGCACTGACATCTATCACCGGGGTACACAGGGAGCACTGACATCTATCACCGGGGTACACAGGGAGCACCGACCCCTATCACCGGGGTACACAGGGAGCACCGACACCTATCACCGGGGTACACAGGGAGCACCGACCCCTATCACCGGGGTACACAGGAAGCACTGACATCTATCACTGGGGTACACAGGGAGCACCGACCCCTATCACCGGGGTACAGAGGAAACACTGAGAGTATTCCCGACGCACACTGCACAGTTTTGGTCGGCGAGTTGAATCAATGTTACAATCTGTCCCACCAACGTCGCAGAAATCGGTGCAATCGCACACATTAAACTCTTCATGTGTGTAGCCAACCAGAGCAGCGACTGGCTACAGTCATAGTGGGAAGGCTGTCATCCTCATCCTCTGACTCCCCCGCCCGTGCTGTGTGTCCCTGCGCTCACCTGAGGGCACAGAGCTGCGGTCACAGTGACCGTCCTTCAGCAGCCGGTCCCGGATCTCCCAGCTGAACATCCCGGGGTTCTCCCGCTTGTACTCCTCGATCTTCTTCTCCACGTCGGGAGTGGCAACCTGCTAAATGTGAGAGGACAGACATGATGTCAGTATGAGGAGTACATGGGTCGGCATGATGGACTGCTCTACTGCATATGTGTGCGCTCTGCTCTGTACCGTGAGGGTTCAATCCCAGCCCCCAAATGTCATCCTCTCCCCCCTAACATCCCAATTCAGTGCTCCGACCAACTATCCGACCCATGTACATGTCTCTGCACATGTCATGATTTGTGTGTATTGTGCAGATATGAAGTTTGTGTCATGTATACTCAGCACTCTGATCTCTACTTCCTGTCTGTGGTTCCTGTGAGTTCTGTGCT